ACAGTGTTATTCCTCACGCCGTGCTTCATTTTACTGGAGAAGCGGAAACTGACGATGAAGATGTAATTATGCATAATTTTAAAAATATTAGTAACATTATAAGTATTATCAGGGCGACTTAGATTGTCTAAATCTACTCTACACGCTGATTTGAAGCTTATGATTCGGCGTTCCACTTCCTTAAAAATTCCTAGTCAGGGCCTATTCTTGAAACGAGGTCCATCAAAGTTATAACTGCGGATGCATTTTTTGGCTCCCGGCAGCACTAGAATCCTGACCAAGAAACAGTCGATTCATAAACCTTAACCTTTCTCATGCAAGGTGGTAGTGCACAACAAAAGCAGGGTGATAAAAAAAACCAAAATCAATAACATAACACTGAACATTGATCAGGATTCTACCAAAATAATATTGTCACCAATGTAAAATATTTTTCCCTGTTAGTACATTGGTGCCCTTGCGGCCATGTGAGATGATAAAAACTTATTAACATTGATAAGGATAACTTTTCAAGTACGTGCGCGGCTATTTTCATTAAATGAAAATATTGTGGTTAATTATTATTGCGTTTATCTTCATATCTATTTACTTAAAAACATTATTTTTAGTTTGATGAAGACGACGTGGATGAGGTTTGTTTCAAATATAAAGTGTCTTTTTGTTTTTAAGTATTGATTTTCAAGGAGGAAGAATATGAATCTGATTCCGACGAAGAAGCAGTAAGCGGTGTTCAGAAGGTATAAAAATACAGGTATCTAAAACGAACTAAAAATAAATTCATATTTTTCCTTGTCATTTAATAAAAATATAACTAATTTGTTTAGAGCTCTGAGAAGCACGCAGACAAACCGGCGGAATGCAAGCAGCAGTAATCTTGAATGTCGATTATTGAAGAAACAGTATATACTTAAAATAGCTGTAATTAAAGTTCTGATCGCACCTGCACCTGTTGTTGTTGTTCGTTGTTATTAGTCACTTACTTTTACGGCATATGCAGTTCAAACGTAATCATCAACCTCGCAATGGACAAGACTAGAGTATAAGCTCAAATGCTAGGCGAAATACGGCACAATGTATATACTCTTAAGTGCTGTAGTATGAATGCCTGCAACAGACGCTGAACTTCCGGCTAACTAGACAGGTGAAAATCGCGGGGTGACAGATTTGCTGATCTTATATCTGACAGACTAGCCTTCAGTTTAAAACATTCAGAATAAGGGCTCGTTTAAGGGAATAAGGGCAGTATAAGCAAATTGATGCAACAGTTTTAATGCAAACCAACATCAGCTAATGTTAATTATGTTTCAGCAAAAAACGGATATTAAGCCGATGAACTGTGAGCACGGCGATCGTATGTCCTTGACTCTGGGTGTGGGGGTCACTGCAGGGGTTCATTACATATATTGTCAGTTTTGACAACGTATGGCTTGTAGCTGTATACCATGCTTTGACCAGTAACAACCCTTCAGTAAACTTAGCGCGATTTTAGGTCGTTACGAATCGTCTAACACCAGTTCTTTATATTTAGTTGCAGCACTGATACAACGCGCCAACAAAATCACGTGCTGGTCGTTTTGTGACGATTGAAGGAAGCTTCTATTGTGTTGCCTTTGGTCTTTGCTCACCTGATTATTCCTGGACGGTTCATCGACCAGCTTGACGAGTTTCCGGATTCATCGCGCTGGTAATCAGCATAAACACAACGAACGGCAGGATGTACATCCACTGTAAATATTACATGTAACACCTCGGATCGAAGGGGAATCACTCACGTATTTGGAAAAGAACGACCGGTTATCGCCATGTTCCCCGCGCTCCTTTTCTAGCTTAGCCTTTTCGAGTTTCTGCAAATAGCCCTGGGTATTTGGACTAAAATAAAAAAAATCTTGGTATTAGTTATTGATATGTGAATTTAAAAAAATGCAAACCTAGACAGCTCGACGATTTCCGTCACGTGTACCGTTGTGTTGAACTCACTGGCCGTCATGCCAATGTTCAGATTCGAGCAAGTAGAAACCGCATCGCCCAGGAACGATGACGGATGAATGGTAATACTCATCACCTTTCTGGCGTTAATGTCGACGGCCAGTGAAACGATATCTTTCAGGCTAGACTTTACCAGTGAGCACTACAACAGTTACCATTTAACGAAGCTGAGCGAAGTGATAAGAAAATCAGTACCGCATACGTGTAGCCGAGGACCGTGTTTTCGTCGGTCAGTCTGTCAGTGCCCATGTCATACGGTGCTCGAAGGTAGTAGATACCATTGTTTTTCGCCGACAGCTTGAAAGA